TTAAAATTAAATACCAAGGAAATTTAATAGAATAAGGAAACCGTTTTCTCTTCCCATCTATTGTTTTCAACTTTTTCTTCCATTTTTAATTTCGATATTAAGATTAAGGAAATTCGAGGTATCAAAATACGGTCTAGTCATCGGGTCGAAGACTCAACACCGCTGACGTAGGGTGGCCCACTGCCTGTGGCCGCCCGACACCGGTGCCTGGCTGCGGCCCATCTGATCGCCTTGTGTTTTGGCGCCGCTTGCGCGCTTGCCTTGTCTTCCTGCCTCTTTTCTTGTTCGCCCACTCACCAGCCTTGTACTTTCTTGCTTGGTCTCCTTGCCAACTCCCTCTCTGCCTGCGTGCTGGATTGTGTCCGTGCCTGGCCGGCAGCGGCGGCTACTTGGCTTGCTGCTTTGTTGTTTGCCTCTGTTCCCTCCCATCGCCGACCTGCACCCTCTGCTTTTTTTTTTTTTTTTTTTTTTTTTTGCACCCTCTGCTTTACTGCTGCCTGCTTTGCCTTTCTGCTTGTGTTGTCACCTCCCTAGCTGTCGACTTGCAACAGGGATTGAAGTAGTAGACTAAAGGACTCAAAGAGTCAAAGCATCAATAAGGGGAATTCTGCAGACTGTTAAGGGCTCAGCTTCCTGATGAGTCTGTGAGAGTCCAACGAAACAGTCTAATAACACTATTGTTCTTATCTTCTTTGTTCTTCTTTTCTCTGTTCTGATTTGAGTCATGTTAGCCGAGTCTGAATGAGAATTGTCATGAGCCGTTGTTGTTGACAATCATCTTGATGGGTACCGGTTGGGATCACTTTGTGGTAAGTATATTTATACACACATCATCGCGACATCGTTGCGACAACGATGTGTGTAAACACTGTAAAGTCAACTTGATGTGTTATTGACAGGAGTTTTGACTAGACAGTCTGCTAGGATTGCAGGGTTGTGGCGAGTAAAGTCGACCACTTCTCTCAGGGTTATCGCCAACTTTGGACAAGGTGGTGGCATCCTCCGATCGACCGACGAAACAGACTGTCATTCTTTCATGTGATGTTGTATTTAGCGCATAGCACATACACACAAGTGACAGACCAAACTAATCGATGAGGAAAAGGAGAAGCCCTTCCTAAACCAAGTAACCTGTAAACTTAGGAGTGGCATTAGGAAGGACTTTTCCAGTTGGAGAGGGTTGCAAGAGCACTAGTTGCCTACAGACCCATGTTTGCATCCTGATGGGTAACGTTTAAAAAATCATTCTCTGAATAACACGGGGCCAGTCAGCTCAACAATGATTTATCAAGGCTGTTGCCCTTTCGAAAGAAAAAAGGAGGTAAAAACAGAAAGTAACAAGTATGGATGTGAAAAAAGAGTGGCTATCATGAAGGGAAGAAAAAAGTAGAAACGGCATGGGTGGCAATGAAGGAAAAATGGGACTCAAGTGGACCAGGACTATGAATCTCAGCTTGCTCTGAAGAGATGCAGAAACAATGAAGAAAGGCTGGGTTAACAGATCCACTCCCCACGGCCAAGCGGTAGGCGAAGGTATAGCTGTTGATAAACAGATCCAGGGTTCAAACACTGTTGGACCCCTTGGGTACAAAAAGGAAAACTGGGCTAGCTGTGAAACAGGGACCTAGGATCATCCATTAAAATTGGAACGATACAGAGAAGATTAGCATGGCCCCTGCGCAAGCATGACACGCATAAATCGATAAATGGTCCAAATTATATTTACAAAAAAAAGAAACAGGGACCTAGGATCACGGCCAATTAATTCAACTCTCCCTTCCAAAGAAGCACGGAAAAGAATCAAGAAAATCAGGACTCAGAGGGAGGGAAGCCGAGGGAACATGATGCCACTATGGTAGTGATTGCAGCTTGACTTCAGTGAAACCTGTAAAACAATGGAGAGAAGAAGATGGGGTGAGCTAAGAAGCTGTGTGCAGGATTGCTGGTAATGAGGCAGTTGCAGGGAGAAGCGCGAAAAAAGTCAATTGATAAGCGTGCAGCTATGCCTGCCTCTGAGTGAGTGGATCAGATCACAATGGGAACTGGTAGTAATCAGGTCATATTAAGTTCAAATCCTACCAGCAACAAGTCAATCTAACCAACAGACGCGCAAAAAGAGCAAAGAAAGAGGGCGCAGTGCAGCTTATACCTGCCTGTGGGTGAATGAGTCATATCATTATCGGGGCATAAGTTGAACTCTTGTGGATCGCAACAGTTGTAACAGCTACAGTCGCTACGCCCTCTTTCTTCCCATTGTCCTTGTCGGTACGCCCTCTTTCTTCTTTTTGTCCTTGTCGCTACACCCTCTTTCTTTCTTCTTTTTGTCCTTCACAAAAGACCAAAAAGAAAAGGAAAAAAGGAAAAGAAAAGGCAGGCTGCTGACAGCAAGGGTTGTGTAACTGAGTCGCATTGTAAAGCATTAGAAGGTTCACAGCTTGAATTGTTATGCACAGGAGAGGTGGGGGGGTGGGGGGGTGGAAGAGAAAGAATAAGGAAAGGTGGGATTAATAAAAGATGTTTGTGGTCATTGACAGGGATGGTCGAGAAATGGAGATGCGTCCTCTGGCACTTGAAGAGATGATGAGTGATGGATCTCGGGCAAGCAGTGAGCTAACTGTGATTCGCCATGACGATGTCAAGGAGATGGAGACGGCAATGGACGGACTACAGAAAACGTGGAGGGATGTGCAGTGTGTACTTCGAGTCCCCACCTTCCAGGTCATTGTTGCCCAAGGTGTGATTGGATCATTTCCGATATCGGCTATGGTATTCCTGACCTGGTATTTCGAGTTAATGGGGTTTTCCCATGAAAAGGTCGCTGTTCTTATGCTGGCAGGTGGAGTCGGTGCGTCGATTGGATCAGTGTTTGGAGGATGGGTAGGGGATCGCATGAGTCAGATTTATCCAGACTCTGGCCGAGTAATGTGCGCCCAATTTTGCACAGGTATGAGTGCCCCGTTGAGTGTCCTTTTGCTTCAAGGGCTCCCTCGCAATCCACATAAGTTGGGAATCTACACCTGCGTAATGTTTTTGTCAGGCCTTTTGATGTCGTGGAATGCGACAGCGACAAATAATCCCATTTTCGCAGAGGTCGTGCCCGAGAGATTGCGCACGACTATGTATGCGTATGACCGCGCATTTGAAGTTTCCTTCGCCGCTTTTGGCGCACCGACGGCAGGGTTCCTCTCCCAACACCTCTTCGGTTTCCAGGTCAACCGAGTGCAGAAGCATGGAAAGGGCCCTGGTGCAGCCATGAGCAATGTTGAGAGACAGGCAAACGCTGCGGCATTGTCTAAGGGCTTGGTCGTATGCTTGGTGATCCCATACACGATATGCTGCATGGTGTACTCGCTTCTGTATCGAACTTATCCGGTCGATCGTGACCGTGTGCTCAATGAGACGTCATCGCAGTGTGGCGCTGATGAAGGCGGCACCCCCTGCGGAGGAGTTGATTTCCAGGGCAAGGAGGGATTGTTCACAAGGAATGGAGATATGCTGACGAGAGAAAAGCTAGACGAGAGTGACTTGGATGGGTATTTTGGTGGGCGCTATGACAGCGATGCGTTATGGCATCTGAGGTCGATTGAGAGAACCAGGGAGGAGCTGAAACTTTTCGCTGTTGAGGGATGCAGACAATGACTGACCGCTGGCAAACTAGCGCGTAGTAAGAGGATGACGAGAGGAGGAGGGGGGGGGGGGGGACCACAAGGGTAAGGAAGCAGATGAGGTGGAGGAAGCAAGAGTAGGTGGTTCTTCAGAGCTGGGCCTCGAGGGGAAGGAAGTGACTGAGACAAGAATTTTCTTCTTTCTGGGTCTCCTTGGTTGTCAAATCAGAGCTTCGCAGCAAAGTCGATGATGCTCCTATCAGGCTGCAGCATTCGGATTGGAGGGTTGAGATATGGGAAGGATCCTTGGTTGAGGGGGTTGTATTCAGTTTGTGTTCACCGTTTATCTTTTCCCAAGTATGATGTGTTTTCGTATGCTGTCGTGTTGGTTTTCTAGGAAGTTGTTTCTGCTATTGAGATACTCGGTCGATTGCATCTATGCTGCGCCTTATTTGTCACGATGCCTCCGTCAGAATGCACCTGGTCATACTAATCGTGGAACAACTGATGGTTCGCACGTTCAGGTGCAGTCTGAAAGGCGAAGTGTACAGGAAGGCAATGGAGAAAATAACCTGCGGCAATAACCCATGCAGTTTTCAGTCTGAGAAATCTGCGTTTGTCGAGGAAGTCTGTGCCTTTGCTGCGTTTTCCAGTGAGATCTCCGAGTCTGCTGTGCTTGGATTGCCCGTGCTGAAACTCGGCGTCTTTTTTTTGTAATTATTGAAGTTGTGGTGGGTATATCAGTATGCCGCGGTACCAACCCTCGTGTCGTGATGTTGATCTGTGTTCCAGGAGGGACATTTCTGTAAAGTTGGGAACTTGAAGGAACAGGACAGAAATTTAGTTGAATAGAAGGGGATGGATGGGCAATGTTTGGACGAGAAGGGACAAAAGGGTCAATTTTGATAGACCAGGAGGATTTTCCAGCAAGCCTGGTAGATCTGGTAGGCCCTGATGTCCAGTAGGCGTAGTTCCTGGCCATCATTACGATGCTAAATGTACCCAGCCTACACATGCACATACGTGTCCGGTCATGGGGTAGGATTGCAATCTGCGCGTAGCTAAATTAGCTAGCAGGTTTCCTGCCCTTTTAGAGGTCTGCTAGGTTCTAGAGATTGCCCGGGTAGGCAGGCAGGCAGCTTTGCCACTGGATCTATAGTCCAGCTCTGCAACGGACGAGGCAGCGCATCAGGTCGGGTGATTTGCTGGTTGGCATAGCGGACATCGCACCACCCGTACTGAGGGAGGCATCATTATGCTTCTCGTATTGAGGGAGACATTATGCTGCTTGTATTGAGGGAGACATTATGCTCCCTGCTTGGAGTTTACGTTGGAGATGCGGACCTCCGTGGCTGGCGGGAGAGGATGGAGAACGTATGCCTCTTGTGGTCGGGCCTGCAGCCTACATTGGGCCTGAGGGTGATGTAGGGGTCTTCGGCGGACTTGGAGGGAGTAGAGAGAGCGTGCCAGTTGGGAACTCGCCTGCGGCTATAGCGGAGTCCAGCTCTCATCGTCCTTGTATGGCACTGCATCGTGGATGGCTGCTGAGGCGCTAGGAGGACTGGTTTTCATCTGGGTGTATGGTGCCACCATTTCGATGGAGGGAGGAGGAAGGATTATGTTGTGTTGTTCTTTGCTTGCTAATGAAGTGGTATCCATTCGTAATTGGAATGGGTGAAGAGGGGAAAGAGGTTGTAGATAGAGTGGTTTTTCGAAAGGCAATGCCGGCAAAATCTTTCGGACATTGTTTCCTTGTTGATTCATGGATTCTTTGTTGTTATCAGTGTAATAAGAAGAAAGGAGTTCGAGGGCAAAGATTTGGGGTGGCGAGATGAGGGAGAAGATGATTCAAGTTGTCATTATCTCAGTTCTTTCTCTTTTTTCTCACTTTTCTTCATACTGTTAACTTCTTCATCACAGAGTCTCTTGTGTCGTTTGAATTACGCTTCGCTTTCTTTTGAATTGCGCATCGTTTTCCCACAGATTTGAGTTCCGCACGATCAATTGAAATAGGAACATGGCACCTCTGTAATAAGTGGGAGAGGAGTGGGTGTGTCGGATGCCGCACTCTAGCAGCTTTTATGTTTTATTTGTTTTATTTGCATCTTTGTTTTCACTGGACGACGTTCGCAAGGAGGTTTTGTCCGAAGATGTGGCCAGATATAAACAAAGCTTCAGAAAAGAGTTTTATCATTCTGGCATTGGTGTGTGCTCAACAGCTTAGCATGGACTACAGACGAAAGCTATGGCAATGCCCGTTGTGCTATCGCTTGGAGCAGCTGCAAAAAAGAAGGCTTAAACAATTTGAAGATAGCGGTGTTTGCTCTTACCAGCACCTCTAGCACTGGAGGGGGTTGTTTTGGCAAAAAATTAAAAAAAAAATAAAAAAAAATAATAAAAAAAAAAAAAGAATTTCCCAGGGAGGGGTTACGCAGTTCCATTTGGGTGAATGGCATACGCCTATGCCAACTGGTCAAGAGTAGAGAGTCTGGACCTGCCAAAGTATTGAAGGGGGTCAAGCAGCAGTCTCCGATTTGCAGGGAAAAGCGGCAAAGGTGCATATGTTGGGTGCTGTCAAAATTATATGTCCCTACCCCTAACTACTCACACTCGCCCTTGTCCTCGCTCGCTCACCTGTGTCCTAATTCCTTATTACGCATTGGGCGTATGTTATCTACTCAATCCTATTCATTTTCCGTAATTCTATGGTACGGTGGTACCTATTTTTTCCATTATTTGTCTTACTCCGTGGCACCTACTCCCTGGTCCCGTTCAGTACAACTCGATTCCTTGTCCGTTAGCTTTGCACTCCGATTATCTACCGCATATCGGATACCCATATGGTATTATGTGGTGCCCATTGACCTTATTCCCTACCCCTAACCATGGTTGCTATTGGGTCCTCTCTCTCCGAAGATCTACTTTGCATCTGCCGGCCCTCTCCGAAGATCTACTTCGTATCTGCAGGTCCTTGTTCCTCTATCCCAACCCTCCTTACCTCTAACAGCATCCTGTGAGTCGCCCGAGGTGTGCTCACGCCTATGGAGGACACCTATACCCAAGCAGGCCCCCATATGTAGGAAGGTGCCCCCACCCAGCAAAACCCCGTATACCTACCCCTGTACAAGGCGCAGCCGCAACTCTCCCTGCTTGTTGGCAGCGGCACAGGAACTTCCACGGTCTTTACTAGGGATCACTACTCGACCTCCTAGCAGGTGCCACTACCAATTGATGCTAACCCCCGATAAATTGAATCCCCCTCTCCAAGCCCATTTATCCTCAAGTAGCAAATCGCCCCCTACATGCCCCCATGGAAAATCCCTGAGAGACAGCCCCATGGTAACCACCCCGGCGCAACCCTTGGTTAAAACAGGTAGTGTCTCTAGTGTTTATTGTGTTTCCGCCAGACTGAGTGTGCAAATGGCGCTACACTATGCCAGGTAGCGTGTGCCAATGCATATGCACCCGATTGCAGGTCGGAGGATATGAACCTGCAACCTAAACCACAAGGGTGCTCGACCAACTAAGCTTAGAGTGAAGTTTGTTATCTATTTACTTACTTATTCATAAGAATGTAAATTTGTTATCTATTTACTTATTTATTAAGCCACCAGTTCTTCCGAGGCATTTTTTTGTGAGGCCAGAAAAAAAGGAAACGGCACGGGGCTCCTTTTGGCTGGTGAAGCCAGCATCCATTTTGCTCCAGAGGCCGAGCCTCGGAAGTTGCAGCTGCAGGCACGCCGCATATTTGATTATTCGCCTCAGAAGCGTACTGCTGGTTTAAACCACCACTACCTTTCCCAGCTTGAAGCCACAAATATGCGGGCACGTTAATGGGATTAACTTTCAGGGGTCGGGGTACTGGACCAAAATCACTGCCGGCGCCCGCCAAAAGGAGGCCCGCGCTGGTTCGTTTTGGTGCGCGGGCCGATTTTGGGGCCAACATCGGTAGCTGGGTGAAGGAACTGGCAGCTTAACAATGGCTTTATGGGTATGGATCTTTCCAATCTGGTCCTGCTGCGGCAGCAAGGCAAACCATCATGCATGTGAAAGGCGAACACATCCCTCCTCATTGTCACAGTGTCACGGAATACACAGCCCTCACCACCGATTTGTAAATTCTACACCCAGCATGTGTCAGCCTGGTTTGTAGGTCTGTGTTGAATCCCACATGAATCATACTCACAGGTGAGAACACCAACCAGTCAGCTGCCACTCTCGTTGCCACTGTGGTTCAAATCTCAACGCATCAGATCATCGTTAATGCCACTCCGTGTGTGCTCATGAAACACACAATGATTTATGCACCAGAACTACATCTATCCCTTTTGAGCACATGCACAATCCCTAGCCCTCCTCCCGACCCGCTACCAGTTAGGGATGGTAAGTTGTCCTTTTGCACAAGTGCCTGTGATCTTGCAACCGTGATGACCCATCTGCCTGTCGATTCACCCACCTGCCCACTTACTGCTTGTTTCCCTACTCCCTCCCTCCCTCCCAATCTCTCCCTCCCTTCCTCCTCCTATCCCTCCCTTTCTTGCCTCCTCGCTTTCTTGCCTCCTTCCACCTCTCCCCTCCCTTCCTCCTTGCCTCCTTCAGTTCCTTCATCTCTGCAAGTGCATTAAACCGCCCTCTCACGTGTTTGCCTGTCTTTCTTCCTTGCTTCCTCTCTTCCTCCTTGCCCCTTCCTTCCCCCACTGCCTCTGTTCCTTCCCTTTCTCCCTTTCGTTCTCCCTCCCTCTCCCTCCCTTCCTAGTGGGAATTGAGAAAAATTGACTGAATTGATACGAGGCCCGAAGGGGTCGAGGTCATTGATTGGTCTAGCTTACTGAAACCGTGAGGAGCGTAAGGTGGTTTTCCTCCGTCCCTCCGTCCCTCCCTCCCTGCCTCTTTTCCCTTGCTACCCATTCTGTTGCCCGTCTTCCCTCCTTCGTCACACATTTCCTTCCCCCTCATTCCCTTCTTCCCCACCTCTTCCTATCTCTTCATTCCCTTCCTTCGATCCTTCATTCCTGCCTGCTTCCCTCCACCTCTCCCTCCTCCCTCCCTTTTTCCCTCCTCTATCCCATCCCTTCTCTCTCTATTCCTCCTTCCCTCTTTTCCTCCCTTCCTCACTCCCCCTCTTTGTCCACCTCCTCCTATCTCTTCATTCCCTTCCTTCGATCTTTCCTTCCTGCCTCCTTCCCTCCATCTCACCCTCCTCCATCCTCTCCCCTCCTCCCTTCTCTCTCCCTGCCTCCCTCCCCCCCTCCCTCTTTTGCTCCTTTCCCCACTCCCTCCCTTTATACATTTTCTCCCCTCCTTCCTCCTTGCTTTCCTCCCTACCTTCCCTCACTCTCTCTTTCCTCCCTCCCTTATTCCGTCAGTTTGTTCACTGCCTTCCTTTTTTGCCTCCCTTCTTCCTCAACCCTTCTCGCCATTCCTTATTTTCCATCCCTTTCTTCCTTCTCCCCTTCTCTCCATTCTTCCCTCCATCCCCCCTTCATTTCTTCCCTCCCTCCTACCTTCCCTCCCTTCCACCCGTTTCACGTTCCCTCCCTTTCCTTATTCCCTGCTCTCATTTCCTACTTTATAACACTGGTTCGCTCCTTGTAAATGGAAGACTTTCACACGACACAACTCTACCATCTTGATCACCATTTAGTCAGATATGAACAGGACCAATCACAAACACAAAGCTCAACATCATCATGTAGATGGGACTCGGGAAGACCTTCACACGATCTACAACATCTTGATCACCATCTAGTCAGATGAACAGGACCAATCACAAACACAAAGCTCAAAATCATCATGTAGATGGGACACGGATTTATTAGCTTGCACCTTGTGAACACTTCATCATAATTCCCTATATTTGACTACAAAAGACGGTTACCCTACAAGTAGTAATCTGCTAGTACATGTTGAACACACCTTGATTGTCATGAGGTAGCTGGAGGTGATGGTTCTTTAGGTGGTGTTGATGTATGGTGCGCAACCCTACAGGTGTTGAACACAATTAATTGTGATGAGATGGTTGGATGTCATGGTCCTCCAAGTGGTGGTGATGTATTTTGTGCAACATTGTCTGGTACAATGACAATTCCAACCTCTTTGTTATGATCTAGTCCAAGGAGGCAGATGCAGTGTTACGACAACACTGACAGGTGAAAGAAATGATAATCGTGAGTAAAGTAGTTATGTGAATAGTGACCCACTTCAATGTTTAAATACGAAAGGTGTAAAAAAAAACTTGTGACAACCTTTATGTCAACATCACCGTAGTCCTGATGATCTACTACTTAAAAAAAAAAAAAAAAAAAAAAAAAAAACATCACCGTAGTACTACCCTTTGTAGCGTCGTGTTTGGGTTCGGTGACCAAGCCCGAATGTGTGCGACCGAACGCGAACAAGCACCAAAACCCTTCAAACGCGAACATACAAATATTAATGGAAAAAATATATATATTAGAAAAAATCTAAAAAAATATACATGTTATGTAAAATAATAATACAAACGACGTTTGCCTGAGAGGTATGCTTAAATTCGTAACCAAACTTGAGTTAAAAATTTAATATGTTCGGTTGAACACGTTTGAGAGGCGTTTGGCCAAACACCCGAACAGGTTCAGACATTTGGAAAAGCTCCGAACATGTTTGGTGTGCTACACAGGTCTTCG